CCTCACCGGCACCACTGTGCCCCTCCCTCTCGCACCAGCTGAATGCGCTGCGATCGCATCCACTCTACCTCTCGACGAGCAGCTGTGGCATCGCCGATTCGCCCACTCGCACATCGATGGTGTGCGCAAGCTCGACGCGCAAGAACTGGTCACTGGCCTCACCCTGAAGTCGTCAGCGCACCCTGAGCCACTGTGCGAGCCCTGTCTTGCAGGCAAGATGCATGCCAATCCGTTCCCTTCGTCGTCCTCGCGCACATCGCAGCGGGGCGCCCTCATTCACACCGATCTGAAGGGACCGATATCCAAGCAGACGCACCAGGGCTACAAGTACTGGCTCATCTTCGTCGACGATTACTCGCGCTATCGCGTCGTGTTCCTGCTCAAGCGCAAGGACGAGACGTTCGCTGCGTTCAAAGCCTACGTCGCGTGGTTCGAGACGCTGTTTGCGCGACGACAAAGGTGGCGAATACATGTCCAACGACTTCAATGCGTTCTGCATCGATCGGGGCATCGAGCGACAGCACTCGACGCGCAACAGGCCTCAACAGAATGGGGTCGCTGAGCGCACGAACCGCCTGCTCGCTGACGGCGTCACCACGATGCTGTCCGAGTCTGGGCTGCCCCAGACGTTCTGGGGCGAAGCCGTCCTCTCCCTCGTTCACGTGCTCAACCGTTCGTTCACCTCTGCGTGTCCAGACGCGACGCCGTACGAGCTGTGGCATGGACGCAAGCCGGACGTATCGCACCTGCGCGTTTGGGGCTGCACTGCGTATGTGCACGTCCAGAAGGACAAACGCAACGGTCTATCTCCTCACATGGAGAAATGCGTCTTCATTGGCTATCCACAGGGCATCAAGGGCTGGAAATTCTACGATCCACTCAGCAAGCGGTCATCATCAGCGAGCGCGCCGAGTTCGACGAGCGTACTTCCCTGGCCTCAAACAGTCGTCCACTCGACACACCCTCCTGCCCCTCCTGTCGCTCCTCTGTGCTGCTCGACGACTTCGACAACGCGCCTGAGCCTGTGCATCCTGTGCCGCATCAGGGGGTGTTGTGCCGCCTCCTCCGGAGCCTGCTGTTCATCCACCACAGGATGCGCAGGAGCCTGAGATCGAGGTCGATTTGCACGACGCTCCACCTGCTGGCCCTGCGCCGCGCGAGGACTCTGTGCCGCCTATCGCGCCTGTCGCGCCTGGCCCTGCACAGCGCAAACGCGCTCCAAAGGGAGCTGCTCCCACTGGCACAAGCCACGCGTCTCTCGCCCACCTCAGCCATACTGGATCGTCCCTCGCAGCGAACGCGCGACCCCTACGCCTACCTCCTCTCCATCTCCTACTCCGGCGTCGTCTCCAGAGCCGCATCCATCGCGCGAGTCTACGCTAGGCTTGTGGGATGCGCGCGAACCGTCTCCTGCGGTCCCCGACCCGGACGAAGACGAGTACGACTTCGAGAACGACTACACAGTCACATATGTGTTCGAGCAGCCTGAGGAAGAGGAGACCGCCGAGGAGTTCTGCGCTTCAGCCCACGCATCCGATCCCATGACCTACGCCGATGCGACGTCGCATCCGGACGCTGCGCAATGGATGGACGCCATGCGCGAGGAGATCGAGGCTCACCACGTCAATGGCACCTGGAAACTCGCACAGCTGCCCAAGGGCAAGCGCGCCATCGACTGCAAGTGGGTCTTCCGTGTCAAGCGCAACGCTGACGGCTCCATCGAACGCTACAAGGCGCGGCTCGTCGCGAAGGGCTTCTCTCAGCGTCCTGGCTTCGAGTAGGACGAAACCTACGCCCCCACACCGCGTTTCGCTGCGCTGCGACTCCTGCTCGCCCACGCTGCGCTCGAGGACATGCACATCCACTCCATCAATATCTCGCACGCATTTATCAATGGCGACCTCGAGGAGGAGATCTACATGAAGCAGCCTCCTGGGTTCCGTGAGGGCGAGTGGAGCGACGTGCTACGCCTCGTCAAGTCGCTGTACGGTCTCAAGCAGAGCGCACGGGTCTGGAACAAGACGGTCGATGCTGCGCTCCTCGCGCTGGGCTTCGTGCGTGTTCGCGCAGATGCCTCGTTCTACGTCTATGAGCGTGACGGCGTCACGATCTACCTGCCCATCTACGTCGACGATATCACCCTCGTTTCGCGCTCACAGGAAGCCATCGACCGCGTCATCCACGACCTTGAAGCACACTTCAAGCTGCGCAATTTCGGTCCTACGACGTTCCTGCTGGGCATGCAGATCCTTCGCGATCGCCCCAACCGCGTCCTGCAGCTCTCTCAGGGGCAGTACATCCTCGATATCCTCGAGGAGTACGGCATGTCCACCTGCAACCCTGTGTGCACTCCCATGGATCCTGGTGTTCATCTCAGCACGTCTATGTCGCCCCAGACTGACGAGGAGCGCGAGGAGATGCGAGGTGTCAAGTACCTTTCTGCAGTGGGTTCTCTCATGTACCTTGCGCAGTGCACGCGTCCGGACATCGCCTACACCGTCGGCGTCCTCGCACGGTTCTCCTCGAACCCAGGGCCTCAGCATTGGAAGGCGGTCAAGCACCTGCTTCGCTACTTGCGCCACACTGTTGATCTCAAGCTCACCTATCGCCCTGACCCCTCTGCGACCTCGCGCTTCACGACGTACACCGACGCGGACCATGGCGGCGACAAGGACACTGGCAGGTCAACTGGAGCATACCTCGTCATCCTAGGCTCTGGCGCGATCTCTTGGAGCAGCAAGCTGCAGCCCCTCGTCACGCTGTCGACCACAGAGGCCGAGTTCGTGTCCGCTGTGGATGCGGGCAAGGAGATCTGCTGGGTGCGCAACATGCACGAGGAGATGCGCATGCCGTTGGACGCCGCTTCGCCTCTGTTCATCGACAACCAGTCTGCACTCTCTGTAGCGAAGAACCCGGAGCACCACGGCCGCATGAAGCATCTCGACTTGCGCTTCTTCTGGCTGCGCGACAAGGTCAATGATGGCGTCATTGCACCGTCGCATCTGCGCACAGACGAGATGCCTGCAGACCTGCTCACCAAGGCGTTGGCCGTGGCTAAGGTGGAGCAGTTCCGTCGCATGACTGGGCGCATTTGCGCTTCAGAGCGCTGCAGATGCGTGCAATTAGGGGGTGTTGAAGTTGGTAATTCCACGCATGATTCGTCATTTTCTATTCTGTGATATCGTCTCATACTCTACACACACGGACATGCATACTATACGCACGTACCCTCCAAGTTTCGTATTCATACGTTCAGTAGTTCTCGAGATACTCGCTACTCTATGTCGTGGCACTGTAGCAGCCGCTTTAGGCAGCTGCTCAGGCGTCTACACAGATCCCTGCTCCTAGACTAGGGTTTGCTCCGCATTTTTCACCAGAGGCTGGGTGGGCTCTTTCCTTACCTTCTCACCACAGCCTCTATGTTCGTCTTTGTATATCCCTGGTCCCCTATTCGATATAGCTTCTCACCACAGCCTCTAGAGTGCGTGTGGGATCTCCAGAAGTCGCCAGAGGCCCAGGATTTAACACCCTGAGCCCACTCCCTTGACGAGCCTCAGCCTGTGCCGTGCATCCTCTCTGTTTACCTTCACCACATCCGCTGTGTGCCTGTCTGCACAGACATGGCATCACCTCACATCCACATCCGGCCTGACCTGCCCCTCTTCTGGCGCTCAATGGGTGGCAAGGCCTTTGGACGGGTGGCCCATGAGGTTCAGGAATGGCACCAGCAACACTCCATGCAGCCTGGAAAGCTGATGGATGTGTGAGTATGTACCAGATAGTGGCCCGCTTGCGTATTTTTTGATTGATATTTGCGCGTTAGACGATCGTGTCACTTCGCTCATGTGATGGGGCAGAGCAATATCGTTAGCTGGAACTGGTTCGCGTCTAGAGTACATTCTCCCGTGCAGACAAACGAATAATCCGGCGCCTCTTGACGACGTGCTCCACTTCCTCATCAAAGACGATGCATCCCTCGCTGCCCGTTAACACCATCAGCCCGTGGAGTACGCGGTAAAGCACAAAGATGGCGTTGTCTTGTAGAACCACTGCGAACAGCGGCGCGTTGGTGAAGGGAAATTTTGAGCTGCTGAGGGTGCGCGCGAGCGTTCGATGGAGGTTGGCTTGGAGGTCCCACGAGCATCCTCGCAAATTGATGAATAGAAGGAAGGGGCGGTATTGGATGGCGATGGGGAGCCGGAGGAACACCATCACAAAGAGGAGATTGGTGTAGCTGTAGGCCTGGAGATGATGCCACTTTCCGAGTCAAAACAGAGCGTTGAAGGAGTTGTCGTAGCCAATGGAATTCGGTGCTAATTCGGGGTTGCATGTAGCTTCCCTCTGCTAGCAAAAGGAATGCCCTCGGCCCTAGAGAGTGTCTGGCACTAGATTGGGAGAGCTGCTGGAGACGAGGAGCTGAGAGACTGTCAGACCCATGTCGAGCGAATTAGATAACGTCTTACCTTGCCTGAATGGCACACAACAAAATCGTCGAGTAGCATGTTGTGATGCGACGTGGAAATGGAATTGAGTTGCGGGGGTGGGGGCATCTCAGAGGCGCAGCCGCTCTTAGGCATGGGAGGGAAGGGAAGCCTTGGCACAGGTACCATCAGGAGTGACGGCTCTTCCCAGCACTTGCGATAGCGACGGCCATCAAAGCATCTGTTACCATATTGAGCCGGTGTCAGCTAATTCCGTTAGCATCATTGCCAACAGGCACGGCCTCAATGCGCAAATGCTGATGATCCGGGGCGTCTGACAACGACCATTGGCTGCGACGCGTTTATAATAAGCCGCCATGTAGCTTGGCTCCAGAGCTGGCCGATTAAGGTCCCACACCTTTGATAGGGCGGGAAGATCCTAGGGAAGTGCCTTGGAGCAAGGTACCTCCACATGGGCTGTCCCGTCAATTGTTCTAGAATCAGCGCTTAAAGTGGGGGCAGTGTCGAGGGACAACATACAAGAAGGGGACCGACTGCCGCCTCCATCAACGATCATCCATGCTCTACTCCACACCTCGTCGCAATGCTCCCAGTGCCATCAATGGCAACCCTGTCTGCTTCCTGAGGCGCCAAACCGCCTACGTCATCTGGAAAGTCGTGGGTGCCCTTAGTTTGGTAAGTGTCAAGCAATCCGATTGGGCCTTTGACTGATTGCCTCGCAGATCGCTAGAAAGCTTGATAGCGGGGCACGCAAACTCCCACAGCCCTGCGTCTATAAGAAGCACGCAGCTAGGTCGTTGTCCCCTCCCATCGCCATCGCCATTGGCATTGAACCTGAAAGAAGGCTTTACCAACTCAGGACCCCAACGACGGATTCTTGGTCCTGGATGGGGTGAAGACCTACCAGGAGATCGTTGAGACCAGCGTGGGAGGGGGGGGTATAATCTTTAGCTGTATCGCATCCTTTCCGTAAAATATAGTGCCACTCAGATTGAACAGGCGGATGACCTCAATGTTCAAAAGACGCACTGCCGCTGCGCGAGCGGAAAGGAAGGGGAGTTCAAAGAAACTTTTCTTTCACCCCTGAAATGATCATCATCGAGTTGCTGGAATGGAAGGATGGCCTTGGCGGCAATATCGTGCGACAAGAGCTCTTTCCCAGGTGACCACAAGGTGCCTGACAGCGGATACGTACCTCGGTGATAGCTTACACGTCTAAGCACTCCCCTGATGTGCATGGCGAGCCCAATGGTGGGCCATCAGTCCTTCAGCACATTACAAAGCTGACCTATACACAGAACAACACGAACCTGCCCGAGACCATGGCAGCCGGCACCGAGTTGCCCGACGTTGAAGGACAACATCAGGAGGTACATCGACTGACATTTCGCACTTGGCTTTCACTCAATTTTTGGCAGTGGCCATCGAGCGCGATCACGCCAGAGGAGTCGCTGTGGCCGCCAGTCGTTCATCGCCAGATCAACCTTTCCCTCACCAGCATGGACAAAGTCGCCTTCGCGGGCGGTCTCATAGACCACCACAAGGGTAAAGCGCCACATTCGTTAACCGCCATCTTGGAGGCGGCAGCAATGATGAACATCATCAAAGTCGACGTTGTCCGTCTAGGGGACAGAAACTTCATCGTTGCGCGATACAAACATTCGTTCCAGACAATCATTTCCCCACACAGACATTGGCGTGAGCTCATCACACATGAAGTTGTGGGGCAGCCACTCATCATACAACAGCCGACCAACAACGCTTACTTGACGACGTGCGATAAGGTGATTGCAGCGCTTTGTGGCACATGACTGCTGGCTAACTGTCGAGCAGCTCATGACCTTGTTGGAGGTCGTAAACACACTCATTGAAAAAAATGCTACTGCAAAGTTCATCGTCGAGTGCGCGGACATCCCGTCTCTGGTCGCGTGGGTGAGCAAACACAAATCCTGCAAGACGACCGTGGTTCTGGTCAGATCGGGGGACCTGGCTCAGAGCGGGATCAAAGTTTTTTGTGACTACATCGCCAACACGGGTGCAGCCCCTGAATGGGAAAAACGCGTCCTCCTTCTTCTGTCCTTCGACCTACGCGTGATTTGCCAGGCGATCCCTACGCACGGAGACCTGTGCTTCAGCATGGATATTGCTAAAGCAAGTGTTGTGCGCAATTGACCATCTTTTAACCTCCGGGCTTACGATCTTCGCCATTGGGTTCAACGCCATCAACTTACCGCTCATATTCACAAAGTACGGTGTTGGTGTGCCAGCGACTGTTTTGCCGCCGGACGAAGTGCCAGCAACCAATCAGTGGGTCTTATCAGCCAGGCACTGTCGCTCACTCGCGGCAAATGAGGTCCTCATCAGGGTGGCCAAAATGGTCAAGACCTCCAGCACTACCGTCGGTTTTACTTGGTCGTACGCGTACGATCTCAATGGCGAATACAACTACGTCACTGAGGACGACAGAATCCAACCCCTCAAAGGGGGTGACGGTGGGCTCGTTGCGCTCGCTCAAGGCACCCCAGGTGTCGCGTCAAAGACTTTCGACATTGTCATCTCGGATCGCCCTGTCAATGACTTTCACGCGTTCCAGTGCCGTCTTGCAGGAGCTGACGTCCCGTTCACCTTCCACAACCCATCGCGCAGCATTTCAGCAACTGGCCCTAGCCAGGTGCGCAACTCATTTAACAGACTACCTCCTCTGTACTGATATGGATCGAGTCAGAGCAACTAATCTGTCTGCTCGAAGCCTTGAATGTGAACGCAGCGTAGAGGTAGCCCTCACGGTTCTCACCAAGCACTCGTGATCGTCAAGATTCTCTTTGCTACACATGTCCATGTACGGGTGAGGAACGTAGGCGGCAATGTATTAGCTTTCCACATGCGGCAGCATCTTGGACTAAGAAAGCCTTCTCGATACAAATACTCGAAGTTGCATAGTGATCATCATCCATGCGGCATCGAATGTCATAGCAAGCCCTAACCTTTAGGCAGTTGTTGTCAATGTAGTTACGGAACATATGCCTGTTGGCAAATGAAATTCTACTCCAATATCGTTGTCAGAATCAGTTTATTCTATAGCTCACGGCGATGAGAACATGGCTACCTAGATAGGCGGGGCATTTTCTGCAGCGTGAGAGTATCCCACATGCGGATAAAACTACAGCACTTGTCTCTGTTGAGGTCGTGCCCATCGTCGTCGATCACGATGGTAAACCACTTGTGGTCACTCGAGCTCGTGGTCAAAACGACGACGAGTTTGATGTCGGCACCCAACTAATTCTCGCATACCCAGCTGTCGTTACCTGACGACGCAGCCTCTCATGAATCCTCACCCTCTGAATCCCAGCCATCACCAAGGTCCCAGTCTCCCACCGTCTCCTGCAGTATCCGAAGGACCGTACCTAGTTGCCACGGTTCCCCACCCGGCGCCTCAATGGCTGGCCGTGACGCGTTCTCCAACTGCCAGCCATCGCCGAGGTCGCAATCCGCCGCCAGCCGCAAGACCGGCGCAATTCAGCACGGTTGCTGGGGCTCCCACTCCAGCACCGGGCTGTCTGACCGCGCTGCAAGATCGACCGGGGGAATGAGGCAAAGCCCGGGCCTCGGCGTAGAGATGGGGAGAGCGGTGGAGGTCTTCTTAGCAACAAGCCAAAGGCCATGCGTTCCAAAACCGGGATGGACGAGAACTGTAGTGAATCTGTTCAGATTCTCGTTCCATCCCAGCTCAAGCGGATGGAATGATGATTTGGGCAGGCAGGAAGCATGGACGGAAACCAGTTGCGAAAAATCCCGCCACGTGGGTGAGTCCACGTTTACAGCAAGCCGCAGCTACAAGAGTTGTGAGCATCCAGCGTCAGGACACTGACTAAAACTTACCGATGATCGCCGCCGGACCAACTTGTAGGTCTGACTCGCTCTGAGGAGGCGGTACAGGTTGTACACTGCGTTGAGGAAGCGAAGGCAGAATATGAGTAGGCCCCAAAGGCGCGTGTGGTACACAGAAGGCATCGGGGAGAGGATGTAACACGCAAGGCCAAATTGCAGCACTAAAAGTAAAGGCTTGTCCCCGGCCTTGCGCGTAGCACCTTATTCGGCTCTCTCTGGAAGCCATGTGTTAGCTTTGTAAGTGCTGCTAATTACCAATACCAGGCCTGTCAGCGGCCCCCGACGCAACAATATTGCCGATGACATTGACCTTGGCCCTAGTTGTAACTGCTCCCGATCGAGTCATGGGTCCAGCTGCCGCTGCGTGAGGGCCAGAGCACACCTAAAGACCGGTTCAGCCAAGCTTTCACACGACATGACAGTCTCATGACGAATAATGCATCACCAAACGGGACGCCGCAAACCACTCCTTATCGCAATTACTCCCGTTTGAGTCATGGGTCCCTGCCGGTGCAGGGAATCCGCTCACCCCGCCACGACCTCCCGCAGCACGTCTTCGCCCACTGCACGGTGGGAGCCAAACGGGTCGCGAGCCGACGTGACCTATTGCTCAATGGCATAAATTTCAACGCCAGCACCGCGCCAGAAGGCCCATTGGTAGTATGAGCGATCAGCTGACAGTCATCTGACTGGGAGGTCTACTGATTGTACCAACTCACCGCCAGTTTCTAGAGGTGATGACATTAATGCTGCAGACACCGACATTTCACGATGGCCACCTATAAGGCAGCATTGTGAAGTCAGAGATTTCACTCTCAAGATCTGCTCCCATCATGAGCGACGCTTTCGAGATACTGGTACGCTGAACAACACGTTCAATTTCGTAGATTCATTTTCCCGGCAGCGCCAAAACATCGGTGTGTTGCAGGCGCTTTGCGAGGCTAACCTGAATGAGTTGCCAGGTCTGTATGTTGAACTGGGTGCTACACCAGCTAACAGCATTACGATTAATGAGGTACGAATGAATCGTTCTTTATGGGGTGGGCTCTGGCTACGACGCGCGACACCCTCAAAATGCTAGTCGTGGGAGTATTTTTCGGATTCCGCTTACCTCTGATTAGCACAGCCACTTGCCACACATAGGATTTTTACTTACTGCCATCACCCTACTCCGGGGTTAGGGTTGCTCTCTAGGGTTCCAATAGCCGCTGGGTTTGCACTGCCACCTCTGGCCTATGCAGTTCTGGTCTGTATGCTCTAAGGCCGATGTTATTGCCTACTATTAATAGTACCTATGCTATATAGTAGTTCTAGTTACCTGCTAGTACTATTACCTATGTGTAGTTGCCTACTAGTGTTATTATCTATGCTCTATAGTACTACTATTGCCTCCAGACTGGAGTTGCTTACTATGTCAATGTCTTGGATGCTGGACTAAGATAGGCACTCTATAGTACTTATTGTCACCTGCTATTACCTTTGCTACTCTGGCCTTGCCTACTGACCTATTCTAAGTTGCTACAGTGTTTAAAGTCACTACTCCAGTCTTACATATTGTCCTGTTTGAAGTTACTAGTGTTGCATGTTGAAAGCTACTAATTTAGCCTTAGTTGCCAGTCTATTAAAAGGTACAAGTGCAGCTTTATTTGGTAGAAGTGGGCTATTACTGGCCTTACTCACTGCCCTATTCAAACTTACTAATCCAGCCTTACTACTCGAGGTAGGATCTACTAGCCAGACTGATCCACCCTACCCTAAAGTATACATATGACTAGCAACTATTGAACACTTGAGAGGTATTTAGATGCTTACCATGCTATTTGGACTGACTATTATATGAGAAGTTACTAGTCCAGATTGTTGAAGCTCAGTAGTCCAGTAATACTTGCACCCATGTTTATCGCTTTACTAGAGCAGTCATTACTTAATAGTGGTTATTGTTACATACTGCTGCCGCAGTCTATGGCTATAGTTGCCCACCTAGACAGTACTTACCACATTGTTCAAAGTTACTAATCAGGTCTTACTTACTTTCTTACTAGTGTTACTGGTCTGGCTTTACTTACTGCCCTTCAAACTTACTAGTCCAGGCTTACTTGATACTGTGTTTGAAGCTATTACCACCCCGTTCAAAGTTACCAGTCCTACCTTACTTACCACATTCTTGAGAGGCACTAGTCCGGGTTTTCACTTACTAGTCTATTCAAAGTCCCTAGTCCGGAGTTTTGCTTATCATCTTATTGCAAGTTACTAGTCCAGCCTTACTTACAGGTCAGTCCACAGTTCTAGTCTGGGCTTACTTACTACACTGTTCAAAGTCACTATGCTTACTGTATTGTTCAAAGTTGCTAGTCCGGGTTTTTACTTACCACCTTATTCAAAGTCACTAGCATGGCTTTACTTACCATTCTTCAAACATACTCATTGAGGCTTACTTGCTACCCAATTCATAGCAACTAATCCAGGCTTACTGACTGCCATTCAATGTTGTGTTCAAACTTACTGGTCTAGGCATTCTTCAAAGTCTCACTAGTTTGGAGTTTTACTTACCACCTTATTCCTACCAGTCTAGCATTACTTACTGGTCAGTTCACGGCTCTAGTCTGGGCTTACTTACTAAGCTGTTCAACATTACTAGTGCACCCTTACTTACCACATTGTTCAAAGTCTACTCCGGGTTTTTACTTACTAGACTATTCAAAGTCACCATCCGGGCTTTACTTACTATCCTTCAACATAATTGTTCAGGCTTACTTACTACCCCATTCAAAGCAACTAGCCTAGGCTTAGTTGTTGCACCATTCAAAGTTGCTAGTCCAGCTTCACTTACTATCTTATTCAAGCTTACATCTTATTTAAGCTTACAAGTCTGGGCTTTGTTCAAAGTTGCCAGTCTGGCTACTCCGGGTTGACTTACTGCCTCATTCAAAGGGTTACTAGGCTATGCTTACAATCCCGTTCAAAGTTACTAGTCTCACTTTACTTACTATCCTTCAAACTGACTGGTTCAAGGCTGCTATAGTGTTCAAAGTTAATAGTCAGGCATTACTTACTGCTCTATTCAAAGTCACTCATCTGGCCTTACTTACTGCCTGTTCAAGCTTACTAGTTTGGCTTTACTTCATACTTGTTCAGGCTTACTTACTGCCTGTTAAAAGCTGCTAATATGGTCTTACTTACTGGTCCTAAAGTTACTAGTGAGGCTTTACTTACTGTCTAGTTCAAGCTTACTAGTCCAGCCTTACTTACTACTGATAGTCAGACCACCAAGTCCTTAGCTGACCTGCCCTAAAGTAGATAGAGACAACTGAACTGCACACTTGAATCAGACCAGTTGAATAACCCAGAGAAGCAATCATTGCATACAAAGCAAACACAAAGTAGCTAAAATACAACACATAAGCATCATTCTCACCCTTCCCGGACTTGGGCCAGTGCACACCAGTGCAGGTTCCCCAGAGGGAGAAACAACCAAGGTGTAAAGAAATGAAGTCAGTACAACTCTATACAGCTCCATATCTGCACAAGGGCTAGAGTTCCCCTTTCCACCCTGTCGTTCGCAACTCGACAGTGCAGAAAGAAACACTCTAGCCCCCATAATGCGCAATATAAGAGCAAAAAACACAAACTGACCATCAATACACCTCCAGTAAGCACTTCTAGTAGAAAGCCTGCCAATGAACAGCTTTGAAATGGAGAAAAGCAACAAAGCAACAAGAGAAACCATGGCATAGATGCCAGGTTCCATAGTTCTCAGCATCCAAAGATGTAGAGGAACCATGGGCTGTACTCCTTCATCCCCCATCCAGTCTTCCCGCTAATGCATGGTAGGAGGACAGTAGGACACACAATGAGAGGTCTAGCTATGACATCAAAGTGATGATTCAGAGACAGAGGAAACCCAAAAGTAATCCCAGGGAACTCACCCGGAGGTGAGGTGCCTTGACCCGGAGGTCGTAGGGGTGAGAGGCGTCCCTGCTCAACCTCAGGTTACTCACTTACTAGGCAGCATATACTCAGCTTGCCCCTTTCTAAATGCCGCTTTTCGACTTTCCCCTACATAGTAGGCAAAGGCATCTGGGTGGCAGTGCACAGGCCTGTCCCACCAGAGGCGTGAAAAGTGGTGTCCACAATATCGTGTTTTTGCACAGCCACAGCCTACACACCCAAACGTATTTGCACACCGTCTGCCCCCCAGCCCAAGATGTGTGCTGGAGTGAATTGAAATCATTGCAGAAGAAGCATACAAATTGAGTAGTACTTTTTTCAAGCCAAGACCTTTAATGGTCATGTCCCTGGATCATGATTGATGCAAAAAAGGCTAAATGCCATGCATGTACACATTGTAAAACTCATGCCCAAGCACCACTGCAGCTCTAAAAACCTACTCTAGACCTTGTCTGAGTTACCACTACTAGTGTGTGATAGTGTGGGGTGAATAGACCTGTTTTAAAGGTTTTATTCTCACTGTATCCCCCTACGAAGCCAACTAGAGTCCATGTTTCATCTTGGTAGGGAACTGTGCAGCTGTGTAACCAACTAGTAAGTGTTGAACAGAGTAGTAGCAGCTAACTGGACAGGGTTTTGATAACAGGGTAAACACTTTGAAGGAGCCAGTAAGTGCTGCCTGAAGGGGTAAGTAAGACTAGACTGGCAACATTGAATGGTGCAATAAGTAAGCCTAGATGGGTAGGTTTAAAGAATGGTAAGTAAAGCCATGCTAGTGACTTTGAATAAGGTGATAAGTATAAACCTGGACTCGCAACTTTGAACAATATGGTAAGCAATCTCTAGACTAGTGACTTTGAACAGCGTAGTAAGTCAGCCCAGACTAGAACTGTTGGACTAGCAACTTGGAATGAGGTGATAATAAAACTCTGGACTAGTAAGTAAAAACCCGGACTAGTGCCTCTGAACAATGTAGTAAGTAAGGCAGGACTTGTAACTTTGAACAGGGTGGCAACTGACTAGTAGTAGCTTCAAACACAGTATCAAGTAAGCCTGGACTAGTATGTTTGAAGGGCAGTAAGTAAAGCGGGACCAGTAACACTAGTGAGTAATAACACTAGTAGGTAAGGCTAGGCTATCAAGTTTGAATGCTGTAGCAACTTTGAATGAGACAGCAAGTAAGACCTGATTAGTAACTTTGAAAGGCAGCAAGTAAACATAGCAACTTTGAACCATGTGGTAAGTACTGTCTAGGTGGGCAACTATAGCCATAGACTGCGGCAGCAGTATGTAACAATAACCACTATTAAGTAATGACTGCTCTAGTAAAGCGATAAACATGGGTGCAAGTATTACTGGACTACTGAGCTTCAACAATCTGGACTAGTAACTTCTCATATAATAGTCAGTCCAAATAGCATGGTAAGCATCTAAATACCTCTCAAGTGTTCAATAGTTGCTAGTCATATGTATACTTTAGGGTAGGGTGGATCAGTCTGGCTAGTAGATCCTACCTCGAGTAGTAAGGCTGGATTAGTAAGTTTGAATAGGGCAGTGAGTAAGGCCAGTAATAGCCCACTTCTACCAAATAAAGCTGCACTTGTACCTTTTAATAGACTGGCAACTAAGGCTAAATTAGTAGCTTTCAACATGCAACACTAGTAACTTCAAACAGGACAATATGTAAGACTGGAGTAGTGACTTTAAACACTGTAGCAACTTAGAATAGGTCAGTAGGCAAGGCCAGAGTAGCAAAGGTAATAGCAGGTGACAATAAGTACTATAGAGTGCCTATCTTAGTCCAGCATCCAAGACATTGACATAGTAAGCAACTCCAGTCTGGAGGCAATAGTAGTACTATAGAGCATAGATAATAACACTAGTAGGCAACTACACATAGGTAATAGTACTAGCAGGTAACTAGAACTACTATATAGCATAGGTACTATTAATAGTAGGCAATAACATCGGCCTTAGAGCATACAGACCAGAACTGCATAGGCCAGAGGTGGCAGTGCAAACCCAGCGGCTATTGGAACCCTAGAGAGCAACCCTAACCCCGGAGTAGGGTGATGGCAGTAAGTAAAAATCCTATGTGTGGCAAGTGGCTGTGCTAATCAGAGGTAAGCGGAATCCGAAAAATACTCCCACGACTAGCATTTTGAGGGTGTCGCGCGTCGTAGCCAGAGCCCACCCCATAAAGAACGATTCATTCGTACCTCATTAATTGTAATGGCAACATAGATGTGGACACAATTGTTGCCTGTATGTTGGTGCAATTCACCCCTGACCTCATGAACACCTCGCCCAGCTGTTGAAGCAGACACCTTCCCTTGTACACCTTTGTCCATTGACAACTGTGACTCGGTCACTCTAGGGCTCTTTTGGGGCACTGTGTTGCCTTTCTCCCAGACTCATCTGAGGTATAGCCATAGCAATTGAACAAAGGTTATCCACAGGCTCTTCCCAAGCAAAGACAACAATATGGTTTATGGGAGTGAGGGGTACAAGCACTGCCTTTATCTAAAGCATTGGAGACAGCTTATAGTGCACCCATTTATGCCTCACTCCATAATTGTCTACAACCGTGTCAGGGGACTCATTAGCAGTGTCACCTGGCTTCTATTCACCACCAACAACAAGCTCTGGCCCAGTAGATTTAGTCTCTCCAGGGTGACATTCTTAGAGGAGAAGCAAAGAGGAGAAATCAATGTCTAGATATCCACTCTGTGGATCATCATACACTCCCAGTTTCATCACACATTTTTCTATTGCTGATGATGTGCCTGATGGCCCTGCTCGGAAAATCGATGCTCAACTCCTGAATTATGATGATGAGAACCTTCAGTTGCTTCACTATGCACCTAAACCTCACCCTCATAAGAGGCATATGAGTGAATAGCAGTTCTTGATGGTGACATCATTCAGCTTCCAGTAGTCCTGTACTAATTGGAGCTTCCTGTCCTTCTTTTTGACAAAGAAGACTAGAGACACCATAGGGGACTTAGAAGGTACAATGTATTCCTTGTGCATGTTGTCCTCCAGGAACTGATCAAGCTCCTTCTGCTTGTTTAGAGGCATAGTGAAAACCTTGGAGTGGATTGACTCAGGGGCATCAGGCTTAAGGTCAATCACATGGTCATAAGGTTTTGACTCAGGGAGACACTCTAATTTGACCTTAGAGAACACCTTAGTGGGAGGGCCAAACTCACTCTGCTAAGCAGGCACTTAAAGAAGTCATGTAGTTCTACACCAAATTCTACATGTGTGCCATTGTCAACGCTGCCTACTCCACAACTCAGGTACAGCTCATCTACTGTGTCTTGTACACCATCTTACGGGCTTCTTTGCGCTGGGCCTGGAACAGCTCAGACCATACAGTCCTGACGCTAATGTCATTGGACATCTTCAGGCACTTTGAGGGCTGGAGTCTGTGCTCTTCATTGTTGAGGACATGACCATGAACCCTCTCCCATAGGTGAGTGATACCCAGGTTTTGATTATATGTGATTGCAGAAAGGCTGCTTCTGGACCTTGCAGTAGCCAGGAAGGACAGTCGGGTACTACTGATGATGAGCTTGACAGCAATGGGGGTGCATCCATATCATGCGCGATAAAGGGTGTGGTATGAGAGATGAGCTCTTGTACTGATACGCCAAGCCTGCGCTGTTATGCACCAAATTGGTTTGTGCATGGATAGGGTAAAAAGTCGATCAAATAAAGGCTTGGTAAGAGACCAGCGGATCAATCCAGGAAGGGCAGTTTAAGTGCCTTTGACAAACAACACCACCACTTCAGGCAAAGATACCTCCACCACTATAGTCCGCTATGTCTCCAGCTACAACCACCCACTGCCCAACATCCATGGCAACAGAGTTCACACCCCACATGCGAAGAGCTCTGTTGAAGACAATCCAACAAGGCAGCTACATCCGCTTGGTGGTGGTGAGCGCGCACAGCAGCTCACCATATCTACATTACAATGCAGAAACTTGACTGGAAACCACCCTGAACACAGGGAAGATGCTCATACCAGCCCCTGGAAGTGTCTGTTGGTTCACAATCAACCACCAACAGTGGTTCCTAGGCCGGATCACCAGTGTGGGTCAGCATCAGGCCACAGATTATTCTTCGAGTACAGCACCTTCACACGTTCACCTTGGTCGCTCTTTCGGTACCTTATGATGCTTACGAAGGAGAAGACAAGTCAGCTACATGGATTTACGGACTCCACTGTTTACTTCAATGGCAGATACCACGAGTCCCAGACCATGAAAAGCCACTTGCAAGCAGGTTTGCGATGTCTAATTACCTACCATTACTTACAAAACACACAGGAGTTGCAGTTGATGCTAATAACTGTCGTGAGGAGTTGTTGGATGCCTTTCAGGAGATCTATCAGACGGTCAAGGGACTGACAGTGGTAGACAAGCTTCTGGAAAACGCGGAGATTCAGATATAGAAAGGGGAGGAAGAACCAGACCTACCGCCCAGTTAGGATCTCGCGAACACATGTACCTGTGGTATCTTTTTGCCTTTCATGTAAAATCCCATTCTATGGCTTATTGACTGGAGACTCTATCTGGACTTATCTGTGACCGACATTATCGTCACTATCACAGGACACCAGGCAGAAAGCAGTCAAAGGTAGAAAATCGGGTGACAGAATAAGAGGGGAGATCTCAGGTTGATCTTAACACCTCTGCACAATTCTGGAATAAATTACCAAACCATTCACCTGACTGGTACTGACCTATACAAGAGACTAAGTAACCACATGACCAAGTCTCTGGTGAGCAGATCAGATAGTGTGCTCAGGAAGCACAGGACGAGGCACTGCACAATAGAATGTACTGGAAAGAAAGGCAGCACATAATCGCACAGGTTCGCATAGCCTTGCAAGTATGACAGATTGTTATGAACACCATGCGTACGCCCACCCTTTTCCTTTCCCCTCGTCATCTCCGTTCTGGACTATGCCTCGCGCCCTCAGGGGCTACTGTAACACCACCCCTATCCTTTGCCTCATGCTGCTGTGCAGCCTTGTTTCGGACATGCACGTGCCTCATGGTAACCTCGCGGCACGACACCCCCTCACACACCGTTACCATGACTCGTACTGACTCGTATGGACTTGCTGTATACGCCTTGTGACCTCACCCCTCGCGCACCGTGGCCTCAAGGCCTTTGTACTTATAAGAGGGACGAAGCAGCATAGCGCTCCCCATCTTTGGACCTCCTTGTATAGCTACGTCCTCTCTGGCCTAGTGCCAATCTACTCTCTTGCTTGCCTTCTCCCTCGCTTGCTCGCCAGTCCACTTGATAGTGCACTGTGCTCACTCG